CACTGCCTCAGCACAATTTGTTTGAATGGTAAGGCAGGATATTAAACCTTACATTAGACAGTCCTTCCTAGGAGGATTAAGGGGACGTTGGTATGTCTTGATCATCAACTCAACTCTAGCCTAGAAAAGAAGCAATTTATACCTAGTCAGGTGTGAAGAAGCTGTAGGAGGGGGAGTTGTTTTGTTTTCCTGGGGGACCGCAGGGCTTGGTTGCCTCTGATTTCATGGGGATGTTATTCAGCAACCCAGCGGGTCCCTACCAGTCCAAGATGTCTACTTTAGAAAAAATGTCTGGCAGGATACTAAATATGTTAGGGTGATCTTAACAGGACTTGCTATCAAATTTCAGTAACAGAAAAAAAATAATGACATAACTTGCTCCTTTTCATGTTGAAGGAGAACGATGAATTTCCCAGCCTACCAACACAGCGGCACAACCCTCAGCCACCGCCAGCACCGCCGCGGCATCTGCGTACTCAGCCACTGAGGTGGATGTCTTGGAAACTTTTCTCAGAAGCCCTTTGGGGTAATTTCCGTCAGAAAAAAAGAGTGATAGGCCGGCGAGTATCGCTGCTCAGTAGCCATAGTACCACGTGCAGTGTAAGTCCTGAGAAACCAGAGGCAACGGTAATCGATGGGTCTCCCTGTCACCGGCAGAAGTGCCCCCATCCGACCTCTGTTTGCTGCTGTTCAAAGGGACGGTCATTCGCACGCGAAGTTCCCCCTCAGCCGATGTTCATGTCGATGTGAAGAGCCATTTGATAAAATAATTAACGTGCTGCACGGAAGAGTGAAATCAGGGCCTCTCAGGTGCTCTGCTGAGGTGTTTGGGGCTTGCCTGGCTTTTTTGGAGAGGTGGTGAGCGGTGGCACTGCCCCTGGGGTTATGTCTAGACAGCATCGGGGCTCGCTGTCCCCAATTCCCCTCTCACCCTGCCCATTAACTCTATCCCAGCCGAAACCAGGACAAGTCTATTCTACAGTTACAACATTTACTGATATGAACCCAAAACTGCTGAAGAGTCCCCACTGCCTCAGCACAGTTTGTTTCTTTCCATGGTAAGGCAGGATCTTAAGCCTTAGATTAGATGCTCTTAGCAGGACTAAAGAGAGGTTGGTATGTCTTGGTCACCAATTCAGTGGTAGCCTAGAAAAGAAGCAATTTATACCTAGTAAGGTGGGAAGAAGCTGGAGGAGGAGGAGTTGTTTTGTTTTCCTGTGTAACCACAGGGCTTGGCTGCCTCTGATTTCATGGGGATGTTATTCAGCAACCCAATGGATCCCTACCAGTCCTATATGTCTGCTTTAAAAAAAAAGCCTGGCAGGATACAAAATATGTTAGGACAGGACAATCTTAACTGGACTTGCTATCAAATTTCAATAACAGAAAAAATATTGAAGCAACTTGCTCCTTTTCATATTTAAGCATTTCCTAGGCTACCAAAAGCAGCATCACAACCCTCAGTCACCACCAGCACTGCAGCGGCATCTACGTACTCTGCCCACAAGGAGCAGCCTTCCTACGGAGGAGAGAAAAATGTCCTGATTGTAATAAGCTCAACAGCCTCGGGCCTTGTGGCATGCTCCCACACTGAGATTAATGTCTTGGAAACTTTTCTCAGAAGTCTTTTGTGGTACACAGGGGGAGTATCATTGCTCAGTAGCCATGGTTACATGCACAGTATAAATACTGAGAAACCAGAGATAAAGGGAATTGATCGGTCTCTGTCACTCACAGAAGTGCTCCCATCCAACATCTATTCACTGCTGTTCAAAGGAACATTTGCACATTAAGTCCCCCCTCAGCTGATGTTAATTTCGATGTGAGGAGCCATTTGATAAAACAATTCACGTACTACACAGAGGAGTGAAATCAGGGCCTCAACAAGCGATCTGCTGAGGTGTTCAGGTTTTGTTTCCGTTTTTTTGGTGTGGCAGCGGGTGGAGGCACTGCCCTTGGGGTTATGTCAAGACAACATCGGGGTGCACTGCCCCCAGTTCCCCTGTCACCCTGCTCCCCAAGGAGACAGTTATCCCGTGGAGACTTCGTGAGAGGCCCCGAGAGACCACCAGCGATCTCGGCTCCCACCGCGCCGCACGCTCTCCCCTCAGCGCAGCCCCTCACCCCCACCCCGTCAGGGCGAGGCAACGGCCTCAAGCGCCTCAAACAACACGGTCCAACAGTGGGCCGGCGAAGCGGCCCCCACAGGGTCGGTAGTGGTACGCTCCGCCAGCGGAGCTGGGTTCCCGCCTTTGAGTGCGCGCGCGCCGGTTCTTCTCAGCTCGCTATAGGGCAGTGGGGCAGGGTGAGGGTTTTTTTTTTTCTCTCGCCCGTATCGGAAGCTCATTCATCCTGCTCCGTATTTCGGTTATGTCCACGCACTGCGGAGTAAAAGGCAGCGTTTTGAGTGTGTCATGCACCTGAGACTGCGAGAGAGTCTTACTTCCACTTCCACTCAGGGAACTTTGTGTAAACAAACTGCAGAGGTGTGACTCAGTAGTAGTCCTCAGCTGGGTTTGCACCTCTGTTCTGTTTCAGTTGTCACGAGGTCTCTGTGAAATCGGATGAGGGGGTGGGATTCACCCCGTTTCCGGGTGCTACTTGGGTGGTTATCATTTTGATCTGAAAACCATGTTTTAAATGTCCTCAAGGTCTTCAAAGAGTGAGTAATTAAAGCAAGGTTATAGTCAATGCAAATGTTAGGTGCCTATCTTAAAGGAGGGTGGAGTTCTTTAAAACGATGAGACTTTATAGTGCCTATTATTGAATAATTACTATATTCAGTGAAGATATGCTATTAAAAATTTAGAACTTCTCAGTTTAGTTTTGTTATAAATACAGGCTTCACTGTTACATGAAGGAAAAATGAAACCTTAAATTAAAAAATCAGATCATCAGCTACAATACTTAAAAAAGGATACTGAGAGAGAATGGAGGACAAGGGGTTAAAAAGAGATTAAATAAAGACATCAGTTTTGTGACAGTAAAAAATACATTTTAAATCTTTCATTTTCCCCTCTAGTGAAATAAATATCACAGTTCAAAATAGGGGTGGGAGGCTTAACAAAAATGCCTTTGGAAGACATAACATATTATAATAATATACAGAAAAATAAAGTGATGACTTTTCCTACTGGAAAAATACATTAATAATACAACATATTATTTTTAATTTACTCTTTCAGTTCAACAGGAGTTTTATTCCCAGTGGCACTGTTGCCTAATGCTGCCAAGTGCTGAGCACATCCTGTCTTCTAAAAGAACAAATGATGCCATGGAATAGAGAAACACACAAACAAAACAGCACACAACATGGCAGCTCCCTGAACTGCCATCCTCAGTCAAAATTTAGAGGGTAAAACACAGTTTTAAGAGCATGATGAAAAGAAACAGTGATTGACAAACAGATAAAATACTGCCCATGATAAGGACTGGAAAGATCAGGGCTTAGGCTTCATAGTGTACACTTAGGTTATCAACTAATAAAATATTAAGATATGTAAGTATTTTACAAAATTGAATGTCCTGAATAAATTTTTTTAAACTCTATTTTAACACATCATTGCACTGTAATAACAGAAGTCATTAAGATTTCTAACTTAGTAAAAAATCACTAATTTAACGTAGAAGCATTAGTTCTTTAATGTCACATATATTCTTAAAAATTGTTGATTAAAAAAAAAAAGTTAATTAGCTTTAGCTAATGAATTGGTTTTAGTCCCTCTGAGGAAACAGTGGATACAAGAGAAAAATGAGTATTAAACACACAGAACCAATACCTTTGTCTTAATGCTTTGGGAAAGAAGTTACATACACGTAAAGACTTGTAAATATGGAATGCCTGAGAAAATGATTCAGTTATGTAATCTTGGTTCCTGCTCAGTAGTTTTCATTTACATAGCTATTTCCGCCTAACTTTACTGTAAGTATTTCTGTCTGGAAATCCATTCCGTTTCTGGTTAGTGCACACATTCTAACTTCTGGTTCATCTCTCTCATTGCAATTTTTTGTTTTTTGTAAAAAGACAGTTCACACATTACCACATAGAAATGATGATTTTTGTCTGGAATACATGGTTTATCTGGTATTGGAATTTTTGTTTCATGGAGCCTGATGTTCAGAGATAGTTTCAGTATTTTTAGAAGCATTCATATTGGGTCTTTGAGATTCACCTTGCAAATGTATGTTGAAGGTTCTGAAAGTTGAATTTCTACTAAAAATAGGAATTGTGTTAATAATCTGGAATTATATGGGTGCTTTTCAAAATACTGTCTTTTTACTCATACGATAAGGTTTATGTGCTGCAGTGCCTCATCACTGATATTAATGCAGACTATTTATAAGAAAATGTGTAAGTAACTTGAAGCCTGAATAGTTAAGTATTAGAGCGTCTACGCAGGTAAAAGGTCTAAATCCAGCATTAATGTGTGTCTGGTAAAATCTCATTTACTTAAGTAACATTTTTTTAAGTTAATCAAACTTAACCAAATTTTATCTGTTGCCTCTAAAACACGCAAAAGAGAGAATGAGTAATAGTTTCAATTGATTGAATTTCCTACTTTAAAGTGAGGACAGGAAGACCAGTCTGTTTGAGCAGCATATCTAAAGAGAAATTGGTTGTATGTTTTAAAAGCATCCTATGTGCAGACCACTATTATATTTAGGTAAAACTGCATCACTGTGTCTATGGAAGTGGATTCAGGTTTATTTTTTAATTGCAGAAAAAAAAATTCCAAATTAAACTATATCATCTAACAGTTTGATAGATTTTGCTTGGGCTTTCTGACATTCATGGAGTTTCCTATAATTGCAAGATCTTAGGTTGGTTGAAATTTAGCCTCACATGCAAAAATAGTTTAATTAAAAAAAGAATTGTTCTTTGTTCTTCTTACATTTGTGCATATGAAATATTTTGACATAGTATGAATGAGAAATATATTACTTCATAGATTTATTTTTTATATATACAGTGATCACTGGATTATACGGTCCAGAAATAAATGAATCACAGCCATGAAGAAACTATGCAGAAAATCAGTGTGGTGAACCTTGATAAGCTTTTGGATAACTTCTCAGAGATAGAAAAGGTAAGTGAAGAAGGTAAAAAATGTCGAAACTGCTATCTATAAATACTTTGTGACATTTTAAAAAACTTTTCAAGTGAAAATTTCTTCTAAGTGGAATCAGCTTATTAATATGCCTTGTAATACCAACTTTGTTTGGAAAATGTTTGTATTGATTGTATCTCAGAGTGATATGAGTGACTTCTGTGGAGTCCAAGAAGCCTTTGTTTCTGGGCTAGAATTTTAATGGTGCAGAGTGCAATTTTGGCTTCCCAGGAAAACCGTGGAGGTGTTCCTTTGTATCAGAAGCTGCTACTGGAGATAACAGTATTACACAGCTTTGCTGGACATATCCTTTCAGAAATTGTTCATTGTTGCAGAAAAATGTCATTGCCATAGCAGGAGCATCTGTTCTTACATTCCATATGCATTGAGCTCTCTTTATTTTATGTAGATGTCACTTCTTAAAAGATTGATCCACCGAGGAAAATCAGTACCGTATTTCTCATTAGACCCATGTTGACCAGCTCCCTGGTGATGTTCTGATCAGTAAATCCATACTAGAGATAATATAAAAGGGACATTTCTCATGGAAAAAATATATTATACCAATTCCTATTCACACCCATTACTCCTGTTGGTGCTCAGCAAGGGCATGAACAGCCTCATATGCACCACAGCAGAAAGAACCTTGTCCAGACTGTGGACTACAGAATTGGGAACAAACCAGTTTGTAACTAGTGATGTAAAAGTCGTCATTCTTAGTTCTGCAGGGTAAACTCGCAATAGCACAGGCTCTCCAGTCTAGCATTGTTCTTCTCTATAACGGAATTTCCAGAATGGCAAATAATACAGGTTTGTGACTGCAATGTTGTGAAACTGTTAAATTTTTTATTAATCTAATATTCATTAATTTAATTTTATATTAATTTAAAACTCAAGATTTAAAACTTAAATCAGAAGATATTAATATTAGTCTTTTTCCAATTTTCTAGAAAATATCAGAAATTAATGAAGCAAATAACCTGCTAGTTCTTCAGCTGGAAAAATGTAACAGATTGTTAACATTAAGCCAATCAAAGGAGGAATCAGTAAAAGAAGGTAAGTTATTTTTTTAAAAAAAGGTATGTTTTTTGCATATATTCAGGAAGTTCTGAGAAATATTTCCATTTTTTTCAGTCATATAAAATACAAAAATAACATAGCAAGGATCTTCAGATACGGTGTGAAAAACAGTAATGTTTAATCTTGGGTCCTGTAATGGAATCCATCTCATTTGCATAAACCAGATAACTTTAATCCACAAACCTATCTTGAGAACTGCATTAAAGTAACTGTTTTCCAGTTGATGTTAATATCCATCCACTTCAAGAGGATCAGACGAGCTTGGTACACCTGATGATGTTATTGTGCCCAGATGTTTACCTTTCACATCCATACAGGCCTCTTGAGCTTCTAGTGAACTGCCACAGTTTACAAAGCCAGCATTTTTAAGCAAACTAACATGAGTAGTTTTACTGAAAGTGCTAGCCTGTGACTTAGGTTAATCCATAACCAGCTCAGATGTCTGTGTAGAACAATAGGGTCAACATTTGGGAAAAGTAAGGTCAGCACTGACACTATGGTGCCCCCAGCTGAGCTGTTCCATTGGTATCAATATGACAAATGTTATGGTTCACCTGGTCACTTTTTGCCCAATGAGAAATGAGCCAGATGCGTTCTTGAATGCATATTTTGCTGCCTTCTGAAATGTCAAAGCTTGCCTGTAATTGGAGATGGCATGTCAGACTGGTGGGGCTGGTGCTCCGAGATAACATAAGGAATTGTATTTCTTAGTTGCTTGTATGACTTGATTTGTTTAGGGACAGTCTGATAGCCCAGTTTGGGGTTTGGAAAACATTTTCTCTGTACCATGCTGTTATATTGAAGTTTTAGTATTCCACTTTGAATTTTGCTCACTGAAATTAATTCTGTCAGGACCTTGGGTATTGGTGGAATCTCAGTGTCTTGTTCTGTCTAGGCATCTGTTTTAACTTCTAGACGACTGAAGAGCTGTCCAAAGTGATTAGACTTTTTATCTGTGTGAGATTTAATCTCTGAGAGGTCAGATTAAACAATGTGACAGCCCATTTTGTGTTTATAATGTCACTGTCAAGATTTTATCTCGGTGACATTTCCAACTCAGTTATAAAGTGTAAGGAATAGCATATAATCCTTCAAGGTTGAGTTCAGTTAAGCTGATACCACTGTTGTAAGTTTATTCCATAGGCTGCACTTGTGTTACTGTCATCTTTAACGTGATCCAAGTTTTGGTCATATTTCTTTTGCGTTGTATAGCAGATGTCATTATGGTGCTAAATAGTTATGAATGGTAATAGTAGTTTACTTTCATGTTAAGAGGATTCAAACTGTTCAATGGAAGCTAAGTAATGAAATGGCATTTACTATTTTACAGATGGGACTTTTAAGCCTCTATGTCATAATAAAAAAGTTGCCAACTAAAGGAGGAATTAAAGAGAAAACTATTAAATTAAGATTTTTTTTTTTAATTCCAGAAGTATATCTTTTCAGATGGGTGTTTGAAAAGAGAAATAATATCTAGTACTTAGCCTAGATTTGTGGTTGCTTATTCTTTTGCAATTTGTAGAGTTGCTGAAAGGTGCATCTTTTTGTAGAACTTTGGTCTCTGACAAGTCAACTTGCTAAAAGTTAGGAAGCAGGGTAGGAATAAACTTAGTTTCATGCTGGAGTGAGATTGCCAGTTGGTTTCACTTAGATCTTTGCTGGGACTTAATAATAATTTAATAATAATTTAGCATAATCGGAAATGATTTGGAAAAGCTATTGAGTATGTGAGTGAAGTTTGCTAAGGATGCTAATCTAGGCAGTTATACCAAGAATCTCATGATACAGAATGACGAGTGATAAAAAAGGGAGATGAAGACCAGTAGCAGTGAATATGGGAGGCATTTAATATAAACAGTGGTTGGCTCCAGTTGGCTACTTCTCAGGAAAGAGATCGTGGTTTCCTTCTGTACAGTTCTCTGAAAATATCAGTGGTCAAAGAAGCAAACACAGTGATAGGCATGATTATGGAAGAAACACAGAAACAAACATCATGTTCTTGTACCAGAAAATCCCGTGATTTCCACGTAATGTTCTGGTCCCCACATTTCAAAACAGACATACCAGAAGCAGAAAAGATAGCAGAGAATGTGGCAAGGTTTGGTATTGTCAGGGAGGAGCAAGGGACAGGGAATCGGGAACCCATCATGTAACAAGGCCCACAGAAGTAGAGGCTTCACCAGCCGAGACTCGCTCCCACTGTACCTATGCAGGGCTGGCCCAGTGAGGGCTGCCAGGGTCAGCCAAAAGTCCATGTTACCAAACAAGTACGTAGTGATGGAGCAGGTCCAAGGTCAAGACAGGAGGCTGAGTCAGGATCAGGTCCAGAAATGGTAACAAGGGCCAGACGTGGTCTAGTGACCACTAGCAGGTCCACAGTGATGAGGCAGGTCTGAAATCAAGCCAGGAAGTCACTCCTTAGGTCATGACGAGGGTCTAGGTCTACATGGTATGTGGCTGCAACACAGCTGCGAAGTAGCTCAAGGTAGGCCAAGGGCAAAAGCCTCAGCTTACAAGCAGCTCCCAAGGGAAGGAGGGGCAGCCATTTCTGAGTCTCCTTCCAGCTTTCTTCACACAGCTTTTTTGAAGGTCACCAGCTGTACTCTTTCTAAGTTGCCCTTGATCCCAGCCAGCCACCCAGGAGGTGGGTCGGGGAGAATGCACTTGGGGCCCTCACAGGTTTGGTCACAATTTTGGAACATCTGAAGAAAGACTTAAGTTGACTGGAAACTTTTCAGCCTGAAGAGAAAGAATAGAGCTGATATGACTCATAGCTGTAAAATTATGAATGGCATAGAGAAAGTGACTGGGCAATGAATATTCACCGTTCAATGTAATAAGAGAACTAGATGGAAATCAAACTTGTTGATTGATTTAAAGCAAACAAAAGGAGGAACTTTTCCATACATTACAAAATAACGTTTTTAAATCAATTCCACAGAAGCTTGTGGATAGCGGAAATATAGATTAGTCAAAAAAGATTAGAAAAATTCATGTAATAAAACTTAACAAATTTGTTAAACACAAAGACAGTACCTGTCGCTCAGGCCTCCCTTATTCTTGTGTTTTGGAAGCTGAGAGGATATATATTAAGAGTAGTGTTAATCCAGCTTTTTTTCTTCTTTCCTGAAGTATCTTTTACTGGGTATTGTGAAGTGGGATGGTGAACTGGCTGGAACTTTGGTCTGACTCATTGGAGCCATTTGTTTATTAATACAAAAGACAATGCAGGACAGTCATTCAGAAACAGATCAAGAGGCTTCATTATTGACACAAACAGAGAGGAGGGGGTTTATACAAAATAGATTTTAAAAAGGGAAAGGAAAAGGTGGACAAAAAGAAGAAATTATTCTTACCGTAAAACCCATGGGATAAAAGATAGCAGAGAAAGTGAAAGAGACAATGCAGGAAATCGGAGCAGCTGTGATGACTGCAACAGGGACTGTGGAAGTAGAGTGGACTGAAAACAGATGGAAGTCAGAAGAGAGAATTGAGCTTTGTAAATAGTAGTGCCTCACTTTGGTAAGAGTGAAATGATTTGAGGAGATAGTTATGCTGATATAACTGAAGAGAACGACCTCTGGAGCTGTTTTGAAACACATGATGGAAAAAAAAAAACAACAACACGGATGGCAGAAATCCAAGTAAAAATACCAGAGCAGACAGCATGAAATATAAACTAAAGTTTTAGCAGCAGGGATAGTCAGGAAAAAACAAATCTCAGTAATACTGAAGTCATGGTACTTGTACAAATCAGTACAGAGATAGATAGGAGGCCAAGGAATGTATTGTTGGAAGCCAAGGATAACGGTCAATGAGTAAGAGAGATCACAGGGCTGTTAGTAGCAGTAGTGAAAAAAGTGAAAAGCAGGAACTTGGAACAACGTGGGACATCCAAGAGGTGGTTCTGAAAGCTACTTGGTAAGGAAGTAAAAGGTAAATGAGAGATGCCAAAGGGATAGAATGTATTTAGAAATTAAGACAGTTATCATGGCTGTTTGATTAGGTTAACCTGCTTAAGGTTAACACTTCAAGTGTCATGGTATGAAGTGTTTGTAAGTGTATATTTTTGAACTGTGTTCGTTAATGGTGATCAGAGAGCAGAGTTTCACAAACCATCTTGGGCAGCAAATTGCCATAATCTGCAGCGGATGCTGTCAGAGGAATCTTCAGGTAAACAGTTACCATATTACTGGAGATCAGCAGTGACTGTAACGTTAAAAGTATTTCAAAAGGACATTAAGCTTGGTGTAGTGATTAGAAATTATAGTAAGTATATAATGTTTCTAAAGCATTTTGCTTTTTCTTTTTGAAATGGATAAAATGGTCTTTGCACCTTTATCAAATTCACCTGCAACATTGGCCCTTCAGAAGGGATAATAGCATACAGTGTATTCAGAATCGGAGCACTAAAAGTGTTGCATCTAATAGTTTGATTCTTTGTAAAACCTTTTTGAAAGTCAAAGCACTGTGGGATTAAAAAACCCACTCTTTATTATTGATGGGGTTATAGAGGGATCCTGTGCAGAACTGGAGAAGATGCAAGGGACCAAATGTAGCATTGATACTTCCATTCTTACTCTGGGAAGTTATTCCAACAGATTCTGGTTGTGAGAATGGCTTTTACACAGTGATATTGCCAACTGTGGCTTGGGAAAAAAGATTTGTCCCAGCCTTATGTCCCAAGCTGCTTCCCAGAACCCAGCTCGGCCACATTTCCTGAAAGTATCATTTGAAGAGTTGGTTCAAAGGCAACTGGAATTGCTGGGTTTGGACAGCTGCGTCAGTTTCTTGATGAACGGTGTCAACATACAATCTTAATGTATGTACATTGTCAAGTTGAAGACTATTCTCAAGTTCATCCTATTAGGAATTTAACACAAGAGCAAATGAATTTACAGGATAGGTGGAAAACTCAGCCTTAGAATGTAAAGCTTAGCAGTAAACCACAAAGCAATTCACAGAACAGCTAAGTAAAAAACATGAGAGACCACATGCTCCTGAATGGTTCACGAATGATTCCTAATAAACATGCTGCTTACAGCAAAGGAGCAGAGAGAAAGAGCACCACAGAAGGAGAGGCTGTTGTTCTGCCTACCCTGAAGGGTTTGTGGCTGCTGGTGGTGGTGGAGTGGAGGGAGTGGAATTTTATCCTGGCTTAACAACGTTTTGTTAGTGTGAGAAACAGAAATAGCAATAGCATTTCACACCCCAAGAAATCTCCAACAAGTATAAGTGAGAACCTGAGGGCTCCTTGACACCTTGATTGCCAGAAGTCTCTCTCTAGAACTGTTTAAGGTATAAGAAGAGTGGGAGTGCTGAAGGAAATGCAAAGGAAAACTTCTAAAGCTCAAGGGAGAGAGGAGAGTGAAACACAAAGATAAGGTGGGAAAAGATGAGCAACTGGGCAAGTGTATACATGTTCTGAAAGGTCATAAATGAGCTTTTTTTTGTCTTGATACCTTCTTTGCTAAACAAAGGTGAGATTCAGGACCACAGTTTTGTTTAGTGGGTGCTGCCAGGGTGCACTGGAGCTCTCCCGGCTCTGGTGGGGCAGGATCAGGCCATGTGCTAAAGGGGTGGAGGGATGCTCGGTGCCACTGGCCTGACCTTTTCTGCCCCCTGGCCAACTCCCCCCTGTTTATATACTGAGCATGACGTCATATGGTATGGAGTAGCCCTTTGGCCAGTCTGGGTCAGCTCTCCTGGCTGTGCCCCCTCCCAGCTTCTTGTGCACCTGGCAGGGCATGGGAAGCGGAAAAGTCCTTCACCGTTGTAAGCACTACTTAGCAACAACTACAACATCAGTGTGTTATCAACATTATTCTCATCCTAAATCCAAAACACAGCACTATACCAGCTACTAGGAGAAAATTAACTCCATCCCAGCCAAAACGAGGACATTAGTGTAAATCATTGCAGATCCACTTAAGACAGACGCAAGTCTGGCATTCTTGTTTTCTGCTCCTAAATGTTTTCTATGGTGATTAAATGGACTGTTGAGGTGCAGGCTACAATTCTGAAGTAAAATTTGCTGTGGTTTTAAAAAAGACAGCAATCACATTATTGTCTATGGAACACTTAAGGTGGCTGTATTTAGCATCTTCAGGATTACCTATTTGTTGACTTAGTGTTTCAAAGGTGTTAAAGGAAAAAGTCATTGATGTAATGGCCATACAAAAAAGCCAATAGCTTCAATTATAAATGCAGATGGAAGAAACTACAATAAATTATACATATTAAACATGGAAAAAGAGCACTTAGGCTGTTCAGTCTTTCTGTATGTGGGGAGTATTCTTTACAGGGAAGGAACCACACAGAATCCATAACAGATGCTATGCCAGTGATCCACAAAGTTCCAACCATTTAGCAAAATTTTGCTCTTTCCTCCTTACTGTAGGCAAGCAAAACTTGCAGGTTCCCAGTAGTTTTTTCCAGTCACTACTGTAATTACATAAGGTATTTGCCAAGATACATCCTTTAAAGAAAAGAAAGATAAGCAGATATTCATGTGACTGGACAAAAGAGTGGCTTGCACTTAAATAGCTGTGATTCCTTGTAAGACTAGCTGCTGTCCTACTGTTTACACAAATGTATAGACGACTTTCCAATTTGTGCATGAATTACAAGCATTTGGGCTTATTTACATACATTTTCAAATGGAAGAAAATTTGTAGTAGAAGTAGTTGATACAAATGGACTTGCTAACCTAGTGCCTCAGATTTTGGCTAGGATTTTTCCACAAATGCTTTTGATCCAGTACAGGAAGAGAGGGCAGCCAATGTTTCTGTGCTGTTCGTGCTCCCTCTACTGTTTTCTTGAAAGCATGGAACGGGAGAATACAGCTGGCTAACGTACTCGGCTGCATGAAGTGGACTTGATGGAAAAATTGACTAAAGATCAAAAAGATTGAGCGGAAAACTGAATCTCTGAGCCGGGATCTTAATTCATCTAGCTGACTCCATTATTTCTAATGTAGTCTTTAATTATATCATCCACAATTTTCAACAGAGCTTTGGTCTTCTGAGATGAGTAACTGTTATTTAGTGTACTTGATCTGTTGCAGAAATTAAAAGCTACTTAAGAAATGCAGTGGTACTCTGGAAATAGAAAAAGGTTTTACGAGTAAGTAACCTCAGTTTTAGTGTCCGCTGTCTTCCCAGTCTTTGAATGTTTTGTAACTTTACTGATAAGGTTACAAGAAACATAAGAGATAAAAATAGTATTTAATGAAAACCAAATGTTATATTACAGACAGTCCATGTGGCATTCAAGTATTAAAAATACAATTTAAAAAAAAATAAAATTATGAAACAAATATATAAACAAGTTGCATGTATATACATACATACACACGTAATTATTTTGTTTAAAATGAGATCATGGGGATATAGTAGCATATTCTGAATCTCTCTGAGTTTATGTTGAGCCATAAGATGAATGTTAATATGCATTAAAAAGGGAGTGAGAGACTGTAATGAGTGGGTAATGTTGGCCTTGTTAAAAAGAATCTTGGCAAGAATGCTGTCAGCAAAGTAAGTTTCATTAATTACATCAAATTGCTGGAATGCAATAATACAATAATACAATGACATCCTTATTTTCTGGCTAGAAACGAAAATATAATGGTTTTATGAAGTTTTTTGTATTGCTTGATAATTTTTTTTTTAATCTATCATCAGACTAAAAGCTAAAAATAAGTAGTAACCATGCAATAATGATCTCAGTTTTTTGTGTAGTCGGTAAGAAGACTTAGACTAATATTTAATCAAGATGATTATAAAATATTTGAGAAAAGTTTATAAACAAAATATATAATTAAAAAGGTGAAGAAATTATTCAAAAATACTGGATTTTTCACTTCTTCTAGAATGTACTGCTCTACAGAATGTGATAAAGGGTCTAACACAAACCATTGAAAACCAGTGTAACATGAAAGGTAAAAGCAAAAATGTTCTTTTATGTACTGTACTGTAATGTAGACTGAGCATGCATTTAAACTTTTTGTTTATATTTACTGTTTTTTTCAGAGAGAGAACCTCACTGGCAGCCAAACAGACAGGAAAAAAAAATATCTAAAATTAATTCTCTGCAGATTTTGGTGGTCTATATGCTTAATAAATTGCTATTATCCTACTGAGAATACACATGTAAAAGAAGTTCTGTCTCAGTGAGGTTTTTTTTAATCAATAGCTGGGCTTTAAATTTATTGCATCATCACACAGGCAATTTTATAAAAAGTGAGAAAGTATCATTCAGCTGTTGGACTGTAGTCTATTAAAGCATTTATGCATAGCTTTTATCACTTTGTTAAACCAAAGAGTTAATCTGCATTGAAATGTTATTAAAATCTAGCTGTTATCCAGAAATACTTGACAATTACTCATTGCTATTTTAAAATAAAATATATAAATCTTTGCTATATCTTTATACCACAGTTTAGCTCTACACCATGTAGTTAATTTTATACCCATTGTGTGTTCAAGGCATATTAGCAGAAATATTAATAAACCTCTAAAAATTGGAAGTATACGGCTGTTTTTAATACTCAGAATTACTTTTAATAATCAAAAAAGCATTACCTGCTTTTTCTAACTTCTGTTTTTGAGATGTTACTTTCTAGTTTTTGGGAAACAAGTCCTTAAAAAGTGTAATAAACCTCTAAAAATTGGAAGTATATGGCTGCTTTTAATACTCAAAGAGACTTTTAATAATAAAAAGACATTATCTGCTTTTTCTAAATTCTGTTTTTGAGATACTACTTTCTAGTTTTTGGGAAACAAGTACTTAAAAAGTTGCATCTTCCAATTCAACACTGTTGTAGACATGATAATAATATTTTATTTTGCAAGCCAAAGAACTTTGTATCTAGATTTTCTTAAATCGTCACTTATCAGAAGGCTAAAGACAGTTCAAAGTAGTAATACCAAGCAAATATTATGATTAAATTATGAATTTTCTTTTTAAAAAAATGGGGACTGAGATTATGTAGTTCTGTAAATGATGATGATCATATCTTCAAACAAATTTCTTAAAAGTTCAGACAAGTCAAAAAATGAAAGTAATTTCCTTTTTCTACTTTCAAGCTAATAATACTGTCAAAATGTACTTTTTAGTGTATCACATAGGTTTTTTTATTTATGTAGATGAAAATGATAGACTGAAGAGTACCATGCACATCTTGGAAGAGCAGTTAAAGGCTTGTGAACAGGTACGTCACAAATGATCATTCTTTAGGTAAAGGAATAATGGTTTTGCCCTGTTGTTCATATATCTTTATATTCTTGGGTTTGCTACTGATACCATTATTGTTGCACTTTTCCTAACATTTATCATGTGTGAAAAGAGAAGAGTTGTTCTCATGACATCGATATGAGAATGTGTTAGAGGGACTAAGAGGTCAAAACTAAGTGCTGAAAACTCTGGCTCAATCTAAGATGCACTTGATTTTTTTTAGCTGTATTTAATTTAAACTTTACATTCTAATATCTAATCTCTTGCATTAAAGTACATTTTTTATGTGGAAATAAGGTTTTGATATTCACAATGCCTGCTGTACTGCCGGAAAACTAAGAACTGTCTGAATTTTGTCCATAGTTTCTTTGGGAGTAAATGCTACAAAGAGAATAGGTCTCTGTGTCTCATAATAAATTCCATTTATGATCTCTCTACTTTTTATCTATGCCACTCATTTTTGGAAAGGAGGTAGCATCAGCAGGGCTAGTCACAAGACGTATTAGTTCTCTGTGCTTAAGATTGCACATCTGTTACCTGTATAGGACTAGGAATCTCACTGCTGATTTTCTTTGCCTGTGTTTGTACTAACTATGAGTTAAACTTAAATTTTTATACCAGTAGAGCTGTTATCTTGACGGTTTGAGAACAAAATAAGTAATGCCTTCTGAAAGGCATGAGGAAATTATGATTCTATACATTATATACATGTACAGGCATGGTGGAACTTCCTAGTGGTGTTGTGAAGGCACTTACTTGACTACGTCCATATATATATATATATATATATACTATAACCACCAATCAGTAACTGCCTATGTGAGTGCCCCTGAGCACTGCTCTGGTGAGTGGCTACCTACCTTGTCAGAAGGCTCTGACAAGAGCTTTGGAGTAAGCACATCTACATTGGCAGCTACAGCCAGTTCTTCGATAATTCTGGAGTACTTACTGGAGCAAACGTATAATAGGCGTGCTCAGTCTGTTTACTTCAGTATCAGTGCCACCAGCATCACTAATGCTAATACCACTGATGTTTCTACTGCTGCCAGTATGAAGTTGTGGAAAACTTCATATAGGCAATATTAACGAAATTCATACTTTAAATATGATTTTTGTTACATAATCTTACAGTCAAAAATCCACAAAAGTAAAACTGTAGTCACTTAACTAACTGCAGCACTGTATCAGATCCTGGAATGGGGAAAGGAATACTACCGCTCCATTCACCTGTTCTCCTAATAAGTAGAATTCGTAATTTTATATTAACTGACAGCTGTAATACAAGGAAATCTGCTATATTTTTTATCTGTGGACTTCAGCCAGATTGTGTAAGAAGTAATTGGGCATTTTTGAATTTACTAGATTGAGGATAAAACAAGTACTGAATTATAGAGTACTGGACATTTTGACATGAATGTTGTGCTTTGCAGAAGGCTAAGAGCACAGACACCTCAAGATTTTTATGAAGCTTTTTACATTCACAGGAATATAAAGATCAGATTGAGAAACTTATGATAGAAATTAAAAACAAAGAGGAAGACCACAAATTAGAAATAACACAGTTGAATTGCGATATAAGAAAAAAATGTAAGTTCTACGAAGATTGAATGCTATAGCATTGGGTAAAACATGTTGTAACCTGTAGGAGCTGTACTTCGTCTAGGATAAGTACAAGTTCACTTCTTAGTGGAAACATGAAAGTTAGAAGTGGACAGTGTTTAACTGAATTTTATCTTTGCTCAAGAGAGTAGACACTGGCAATGAGGTAATAGTACAGCAACACAGGATGAGCAGAAATTCCCCAAAACAGGTAGAACAGACACTGGGAACTTGGACCTAAAAATCTGAAAGAATGCAATTTTCAGTTAAGTGTTGACTGGAAAATTGCTTTGAACTATAAGCTGGACTGCTGTTACAGTGTTCCGGCTATGCTTAGGAGAGTAGGACATTATTTTCACAGGTAAATAATACTGCAATGAGAAAAAACTGATTTCAATATTGTTTTCATTACTGGCATAGCCTTGAAAAGCAGGATTTTTTGGTGATCCACTTAGCTGAAAAAAGCCAGACAAACTCTTTGTAAAATATGATGCTTCTTTAAAGAGACTCCATCTTACTGGGATGGGACAGGGTGGTTTTCACATAGTTTTAAAGTATGTTTTTTGCTTGAATGAAATTGTTTTCCTATGAAATACTGACCTGCTGTTCAAAAAAGTTTTAATATTTGGTAAATTATGTTATTTTTCCGTCTAAACATCTTCTATAATCATCATTGGTGTTACTGTGTTACTAGTTGAAATAAAAGAAGTGGAGTATAGAGAACAGAGAGAGGAAAAAGAGCTGGAAATATTAGAGCTAACTAGACAGCTGAAAATTCAAAATGAAGAGAAGCAGAATGAAATAATAAAACTGCAGATAGAGGTATGCGTTACAAAGCTGAGTTAAAGATCAGCTGGGCATTGGGTAAACTTAGAAGAGACTGTAGTGAAAAACATTAATTAGTACTTTAAAAAGTAATATGATGGAATCTAGGAAACTTAAAAAACAATTGACTAACATTTTACAAAGATCAGTGTCATGTGCTCCCTTCCATAACGGCATCCGAGTCGCTTCTGCTCAGGAATCAAATTCTACCCACTGTATAGGGAGACTGAAGTTTGCTGTGTTCTCATTTTAAATTAAATTATTTTGAAAATTTTGCTAGTTTTTGAGCTATAAAAAAATGAAGTGTTTTCTGCTTATTTTTATTCTTTTTAATTTCTGAATGCTGGGAAGATATTTTTTTCAATAAACTTCCAAGAGCTTGAAGTCTTCTAATCCTGCAGAGATTCGAGTCACAGAATTCAAGATGTATTTCATGGCTTAGGTTTTAAGCCACTCTCATTACAGAAAAAATTAAGGAAATACTTAAAATGTTTCACATATTAAAAAAGAAATAAGGTGTGAAAGTGTTCAGGCTGAGTTATCCTTGGAACATCAGGGAAGGGTGATGATTTCAGAGGCTTCTTGCATCTTCTGCATTTTCTCCTCCTGCAGACACGGCTGTGGAGCCTTCAGATTTTTTTTTTTTTTAGTAGTAGTCTTGTTCATCTAAATGTATTTGGATTATAATATTTGTATTTTTGATATATTGAAAAACTTTTTTTTTAAGAAACATAAAAATTTCTTTCTTTTTTTATTTAACTAAAGTAGCATAGTACCCCTAGGATTAAATAGTATGTAAGCTTCTTGCTACTACGTTCAGGTACAAAATCCATTAAAAAAAAAAAAATTTGAAAATTATACTTTTTTCCTGTTGGGTTCTTAATGTTTTGTCTTTTCACGATTCTTTCAGTTCAATGCTAAATTAGCAAGAGTTCAGAATAAAACAACAAAACCATTTTCAGATGCTTCTGTCTTGCCACAAAGTATTTATCGAAGGGTATGTGCTTTAATAGCCTGTAGTCTGCAGATACTAAATACTGTTACAGCCTGTTTCAAACAGCAGTTCCCTGGGGTTTTACTGCCCTTGTTCTCCAACAAAACTTTGGGGGTGGGGGAGTGGGGGTTGTGGAGTTTTATGCCTTAGGGTCCATCTTACTCACTCTCCCACACATCCCTCCCACCTCTAGACAACTAATTCCATGTCTCTCTGCACCGATGTTGATATAGCTGGGGTTCAACAACAAAAGCCCACGTGAAGTGGTTTTAGTCCAGAATTGTTAACCTGGGAACTTAAGATAGAACTGACATAAATGACTGTGATGTGAATTATATACGTGCATTATTGGTTTTGGAGGCTTGGGACTTTGGGATGTCACAAAAAGAGGATTCTGGGGAAGTCATCTTTGTAATTTTGTGATGCGACATACTGAGAAAAATATTAGAATATTTCTCACCAGTAGTAGCATATTGTATTGTTACATAATTCTATGTGAGGTTTATCAATGAAGCCTTTGCTTGCGTTTTTACAGAAGCTGCAGCATCTCCAGGAGGAGAAAAACAAGGAAATTGAAATTCTCCGAAACACCATAAGAGACTTAGAGCAACGTCTTAATAAAGGCCAAGACCTGCACTTCAAACGGAGGCGATTTTGAGTAAATGACATGAAGTATTTCAGCAGTACATACAACGAGAAACAGAAACAGTGTATTTCAAACTGCCGCTGAAAGTAAAAAACAAGATATGAAGAAATACAGAATATTTTTTATTGAAAACACTCTTGTCAAATATTCCAAAGGCATGCATTCTGTGTATGTTCAGGGCTACTTTCTTGCTAATCAGCATTCACAATAAAAAGATTCAGGTTTCGTAGGAGTAATAATTTCCCTATTAAACCATCATTAATTATGGTGTACACTTTCAAAGCAGTTTTCCTTTCTTGAATATTCTCTTCTTCATCCAGGAATCCTTCGAACAACTGTATTTTTACTTCAAGTCAGTTAACCAAAGGTTAGGAATGCTAAGCTACAGACAGAGAAGTTACGCAAGTTTAAGTGGTATATTACCGTACTAATCAATACAGATTTATCAAATTCAGCACTGTTATAAACAAAGATAAACACTAAACCAAGATTAAATTTGTTCTGCCTCTCCCTCTTTGAAACTGATACTGATTCTGCATGAAGAGTTGTTAACACTGCTTCTCACTTTAGGCACGATCTTACTGGTTTAGTGGGATTGTACAAGCTGTAGTACTATGCATTAATGGACCCTGATACCGCATCTAAGCCACAAAAGCATATAAATCTGTTACTTTAAAATAAAGCAATTACTGCTTGTATCTTACATCTGAGATAAAAAGTTATTTTGGCACATTGCTTAGGAATAAGCTTTACTTGTACATAATTTGTATCCCCAGGTTAGGAAAAAAAAAAAACCAACTTCCGAATATATTCCATCTTCTCAATAAAAATGATTAAAATATCTCTTTTGGTTATCTTCTGTTCTTGATTGCAAAACATCAGACAGGAGCCCCTAGGTCATAGTTTATGCTCCTGTCCTCACAAATGCAAGCAGAATGTTAGAAGAGAAACAAGAAAGACAAATTAATCAAGAATGCAGACACCTTTGTAGTGCAACTGAAAAACAAACTACAGGTCAATGAAATTCCTTAAAATTATGAAGCTTTTCACTGATGGAATTTGACAGGTATTGTGTAATTCTAAGAGCACTGCTCTAGAAGTCTACTTCTTTGCCATGTTTTAACTCTACACACCTGTCAGTATAGTTTTTAATTGGGGGCAATAAAAACACGTAATCTGTTAATTTTCCCGCTCTCGCAACTATATGAATTTAGGTAGTAGGGCTCCCTTGCATTTTTAAGGTGCTTAGTTTGTTTTTCAGGCTCAGTTTCTTGCCTTTTCCTGTCACTGTCAGGTGTCACTACTGTCACTCACTCCTGCTGCTGGTGACTGTCAGGCAGCAGTGAGCAGACGTCACTGTCAAGATTCAGTGATGTCCTCTGCTGACAGCTGGCCATGTCACCTGCAAGAGTTTGGAAGTGCTCCACGACACTGTCAAGTGACAGAATTTCCTAGCTCTTCAAACAAAAGGTGTCGACAATGACAGCATCAGCTACTAGAAGTTGAGTCTGATGCTGTCTGCCAATTTCAAGTTAACTGGTTTTTACAGCTGGTCTTCCCTTTTTTTCATAGCTTTTTATCTTGTGTAATATCCACACTTTCCCCTGGAGGAACAGTGTCTACCTGTTCGTGACTACCTGTCTGATCATGTCTGTTACGGCCAAAAACCCTATGACGCCGACTGCTGTGAGCATGACGTCTCTGAGTTTCAGACAGAGCCTGATGGTTCTCATTTCTGGAATGATGACTGCCCTCGCGATGGTGGTGGTGGTGTCCATGTCTGTGCGGGTCGTGGTGATGTGAATGTTGATCAGCTGGTTGGAGTTCTCTCTCTGCTAGCTTTTCATCTGCTTTTTTAGTGATGTTTTCACATATACCATCAATATCAGGTTCCTGCCAAACAGAAGCTTACATTAAATACAAGGCATTATATTTAATTAAACTAGGTGTAAAATACTAATTATCTTAACATTTTTGCAGAACCTGAAACCTGTTTTTAAATTATTTGTGCTACTTTGCTGAAGAAAGATATGAATGTCTCGAAAAGAACCTTATTTTACAACACCGCTGATAACTAGACAGGGCTCTTAATGTAAACTTGTAGGAATCATAATTCAAGTAATTGCTAATAAAAAGTATTCTTTTTCTAGGATCCCACATCTGACCTGCCCGAGGCCTACATTTAGCTGGAAAACTGTATGATGGGATCAAAAATAATGCTTCTTCTCATTGAACTTTCATGACTATGTATGTACGTTTCTTGATAATCCTTAAAGTAGTTCTGATCTTTATTTATATGTAAAACAAAGCTACCCTTCTTTTAGAATGGTAACAATAATGTCACCTTGTATTATCACTTTTTTATGTAACTATTGTATACTGTATTTAAAAGGAATAGTAACTCAAACCAGCTCAGATTTGGTCCCAGGTTTTAAAAAAAAAATACTATTTGTTTAAGTACTTACCTGTCCCCAAAAACTAGAGTAGCTAAATGCTCACTAGTTGTACATAACTCCAAAAACAGAATTAGCCTTCAAGATTGCATTTGGATTTCTGAAAATTATTTGCATTTCTATCAAGGGCAGGATTTTAGATAATCAGTCTATTATAAATTAGATCTAATTCACTTTGAAAAAATGTTTAAAAGCTCTCTGTCAAGAGATTCTAAATCATATCTTTTTGGATTAATCACACTGAAATAGTTTTTTTTAAGTACCAGTCAAATCCAGTTTCCTTTCCTAGTATATATAGAATGAAACAAGGAAATACCGTGTAAGAGCAATTTCCACACTTGTTTTCACAGTATGCAATCTTAATAGATTCTTCTACATATTGGAAAGACAGGAAGGAATAGGGCAGACCCAGATGATACACTAGACGGCCGCATCTACGGAGAGAAAGAACTTTGTGGTTACATATTGATAAACTGTACAGTCCCATGGAGAATGTTTCTGTCCAAGGAGTTCACAGGCAAAAACATTATCTGCCAATATCATCGGCAGTAGTGTGAAGCATGACTTCTGGCTGACGTAGTAACTCTACTGGCAGAAGCCCGTAGTTTAGTGGCACTTAGACTAGCAAAGGTATGCTCATTACACACCTGTCTTGCTGATGAGGAGGGCTGTTTTCATAGTGGTACAAATCGACACGTGGTTGTTGCATCCTTACAAAGAATGTTTTAATGCAACAGAACATGTATTTTGATTGGAATGTGCATTGCGGTGCATCTGCATTACTGATTCAGCGTGGATGAGGGCATTTTTATGGTGCCTATTTGCCCCATGTCTGTACTTGAGTGTTCTGGTATGCACTGGACTACGCAACTGGTACGTTCAGAGGAGCTGGAGTACCTGCAGAACTTGTACACAAGGGCACCTTCTTAAGTACCCCACCTGCAGTGTCAACACACAGTCCTCCAGCCTTGGCTCCTTACACATCTGCAGTGCATGTCGAGGACCAGCAACAGGCAAAGACTTCATTGCCAATAAAGGCACAATAAGGACGTACGTTCCTAGAACCATAATCAATCATGGCCAAACTACGGCCAAACGAATTCATAGCATGGGCGTATCCTATGTGTCAACAGCACAAACTGTTCAACCTTTCAAATGCCGCGGGCCAGGCACCACCGTTGGGGCCCCTCCATGGACAGATACAGCCTTGTTCTGTTTCTCTGTCATATGGCACCAGCCTCCCATACGGAGGCATATTTGCTTGCATAACACGCCATCACTTTCTAAAGATCATTCCAGTGCTGGTTTCATCCCACAAGCCTAATTTAGCTAATTCATTCAATTTCATCATATTACCAAAAAAAAGTTAATTAACTTTCTAATTCTTTATTAAACCTAATTATGCCTCAGTATGAACTGAGAATGTTCGTTATAGTAACACAACAGTAATTAGGATGGACATGTTAGAAGTGCAGGACTTGTCAAATAATTTCCATCACATCAAAACTGAAAAAATCATCATTTAAGGAGTTACTACTGGTTCTGGCAAAAGATACATGTCCCAGAATCCTATGATCAAAAACCTGTTTTATTCCAAAGTTTTAAGTTTCACCTGAAGACTAATTTTTCCATATGGCTACATGACATTTGCAACAACTCCAGTCAAAATATTTCCATGAGAACTCAGATAGCTTTTCTCATTTGATTCTACTTTCACATGCGTGGATGTAATGAAGTTGTCTGAAAATAAAAACAGGGTAAGACCACAATCATGCTATCAAATTCTACACTCAGTTATATTAATCTAAATCCACAGTAGTTATAAAGAAAAATTTATTTATCCCAAACTTACTTAAGCATTAGCAGACTTCTCTTTTGTAGCTTCCTTTTTCCACTAAATGCAAGTGCTTTAGTTAGTGCAGCTTAGAAGTTGATTATGATGTCATTGTTGTGAGGTAATCAGGTTATTTGCAAATCAATGAAATAATATAGAGATTTACAAAGCATTACTCTAAACACATACAAATATTTTCCTGTGTTGCCCTCTAAACACAGACCTGTCATAGATGAGAAAGTCATCTTTGTTTCCATTTAAGGTAGTCCAGACATCAGCTTGCTGTTCATCTTGCTGGTAGACAGTAATATAGTCTGAAACACTTTCTTTCAGTAGGTGGAATTTCCTCTGGGAGTAAGTTCCCTGATGGTTGACAACGACATACGAGATATTGACCAGTCCTTCATTCTCTAATTTCACTCGCAGCTCCTCCAATCTAGTGGAGAATGTAAAAAAGCAAGGCCATAAATCATTACAGAATCGTAAGATTTGCCACGTTCAATGGAAGTTAATACGCTCCATCTTGCTTTTACTACAGTGAATGTTATTTTTTCCCAGTTTTAATGGCAACAATCTAACATTATTAAAACATTCTTGCCATGTGCTATGACATCAACTATACTGTCACCAAACCAGACTCTACAATAGCTAATATGCCATGGGTCCTGTCCTTGTAAGTAGAATGCAATACTAAGTAAAGCAGACGTCTGCTTTCAGACTGAGTTCAGTGTTATTTTTATTTCAGTTCTCTCACGCTCTTCATGGTCTAACACTGTTAGTTTATCTGATGTCTCTGTTTAAATGCTGAGGTTTTGGTCACATAGTTGGCATACCGTCAATACAGCAGGAAGCAATCAATAAAGCAAACCTGCAGTAAAAGGCGGATAGCTCTCCCACTCATCTTGACATGGCTATTTTCTGTAATAGGGCTATAACAGCAACTGGGTCGAAAGGATGGCTATGGAATGTGTGCATGACCTAGCTGGCAGTTATTAGTCTTTCCCTTTGGCTTCCCACCACAAAAGTCTTTCTTTCCTCTATATACAGAAAGCTGCTTTCTTGCTGTAAGATGTGAAGATGTGGGGTTTTTTCCGTTTCATTTGTATCCTTCCTGTTGAACTGCTCTACAAAACTTTTTTTTTTTCAGGAAATAGAGCTTGAAAGATTCTTTAAAACCTTTCTAAAATGTACAAAATCAAACCCAACTACCTTGAAAGCCAACCACAGAGCCCACTTTGACTTTGGTGAAGCCAGAGATTTACCACTTTTTCTAATTTAGTTCTTTAAAAACTTGCAAAGACTGTTACAATATGAAGTTACACAGCCTAGAGGGGGAAACTAAGATGTTATTACAGTGATTAAAATCAAGTTCTGAAACCGGTACTATGAATTTTTAAACCAAAATTATTTCACAATCACTAAATTAATCCAAGATAGGGCTGTATGCAATTCCTGTTTGGGTCAGCTCAAAATTATAGTGTCATGATACCTAACTATTTGCACAGAAGCAGGTTCTAGAAACCAGAGCACCAATGTCCCAGGTCTTGTATGAAAATAGAACACTGATGATTCCCTTGAATGCTTCACCTGTTTATCAAAAGGCCAGTCTTTACCTTATCTTCTGGTTTTTGTTTTGTTGTTGGTTTTTTTTTTTAATAAAAAACCTCTAAAGAGGGGCTGGAAAAACACATTAAAAGCACATGCTTTGATTTACCTTTTCCCCTACAGATCCTACATAAGAAATGAGTGATCACGGATCTCTCTGTTGCAGGTGTTCTAGCCGTGTCAGAGAATTACGTTATTTCTTGGCTTCAGCACCTTTGCTACATTAATCATCTGTTGCTAACTGAAGTGTAGGTCTTGAGGAACTGTTTCTGTTGGGTTTCATGTGTTTCGGGTTTCATTCATGTCAAGTTGATTGTACTTTTACATTGTCAATACAATCAGAGAAGATGATCCATCGTCAGTCAGGACTAAGTCAAGAGATGAAGAATCTGAGCCCCTGGCACAGAACGCTCCTGCTGAGAGTTAACCTGGTCACTGGGTCACACATGCCAGCTGGGACAGCGGCATTTGAGGGAGCTAGAGTTCACTGAGTGCATCTGTAGTTGGGCACATGTATTATCCTCAGATGGCATTAAAAATTTGACCAGTCATGTTTTAACAAAAACTGGGAAAGGTATTTACACTTACCTGGAAGCCTGCAGCAGGCACAAGTATCAGCTAGCTTGGAGAGGAGCCACCACTGTCACTGAGCCCCTAGAGTTCAGCATTGGGTTCTCCTCCCCAATACGCCATTCTGGGGGCTCCTTGCAGTTCTGGATCTCTGTCCCTCCTCCTGGGAGGAGACAGAGAGCCAGAACTAGCCCCAGCCCTGCCCACATGGCTGGGCTTTATCTGAAAAGAGAGAAAATAAACAAAATGAGATCAATGCCTAAGCGAAGTTCAGACTCTGAAATTCCCATAACAAAGCACAGCAGGATATTGGCTCCGTTCAGTTTAAAAAAAAACCTGTAAGAATAAATCTGAGCTACTTTGTTTACTGCTTGATCATATTTCTTTCATTTTGCAGTGGAGTTCTCCTAAAATAAATAGGCGGGGGGGTAGGGTGTTGTTGTATGTAAACAGCTGAAAAGTAAGTGTTCAGAGTAACTGGATTTTCTTTTAATGCTACTAATCAGACTACGTTGTTCCTTCCTCTTTGCTATTTCTTCTTGACTGTTTTTCACACTTCAGTGATTTTAAAGTGGCCTCATTTCTTGTGTTTTGAAATCAGTTGTGCTGAGCCAGTTTACACCAGTAAGAATCTAGACCAGTTCACTCCAGATTGCAGAGTAATTCCACTGACCTAAAAGTACTTGCACCAACAGTGTATTTTGGTACACAGCAAGTATTGCAGAACCTGGCAGAAAATAAAAAAAAAAGACTTAAAGATTTTTACAAGTCCGTCTGTAGTATTTGGATCCCATTGAGAAAAATCTCTTAAGAACAGAGGCACTAGAAACAATTTTGCAAAAACAGGAAATGAAAACTGAGTTTCAGTATTCCTCAGATCTTACAAAATCTCCTACCCACACTTAGTCCATTTAATGTTTATGAAAATCAAAGCACACAAGAAATTCTGTAATTATCCTTTCCTTTTATTCCATTAATATAATAATTTTGGCTTAATATGTTCAGAAAATACCCATTGTCAAGAAATATATAAAATTATAAAACTGTTCCCCAACATGTCCTAGGTTGTGGAATTGTGTAATTTTACCACTCGCATCCAAGTCTGATAGTAAACACAGAAGTTTTGGAAACACTAAGTGCTGATGAACAGCATGCGATTCATCGATCTTGTCATATTCTAAAAAAATTAAAACATTTTAATAGTTCGTCTTTTAAAACAAGAGCCAGCTGCTGCAAAGCCAACATCATTTGTGAAATCCGTCTGTCCCTCGTGTTACTTTTCTGCTGTTCTACCAAAAGCACTGTAGGTACAGTATTTTGAAGATTAAACTGTGGTCCAACAGATACCAACAGGGCTGTTTCCTTACTCTTTCCACGCATCTGGAAAGCTGCCCGCCTTTATATCCATTATAAACAGGTGAAACTCCTGTGACCTCTTGAGATCCTGCTACGCCTGTACAGCCTTCTGCGGTGCTGGCGTATGGTGCCCAGCGACAGCTGTCTCGCCCCGTGAACGAGGTGAGAGCTGTGTTCCGAATTACGCTTCTCCTCGCATTTCAGCTTTCTAGCTGGTTCCCAACGGAAATTTCCAGTCGGCCTTTTCAGCCAAAGAAACGAGGAGACACTGCCAAATCTTAAGTCATGAAGCTCTTTCATAGCAAAACCAGTGCACTTACCCTTTCCTCCCCCCCCTCCTTGGCAGCTCTGCCGAACGCCGCCGCAGAAGAAAACAGTGTGGGGGAAAGGGCTGTGGTATTTATAT